ATGAACTTCTCCATACTTGACCTTACTCAGAGATAGCAGCCTCACAGAACATATTCTTTCCTGCTCTGGTAGTCACACCCTTTCCTAGTCCTTGAACCCTAGTGGCAATCAGGCCTTCAGTGGTGCAGAAAATTTGAGGTGTTGCAGGGTGGGCTTCTTCCCTGCTGGTGGCCACATGCAAGGTGAAACTTAAACTCCTTACCCCCATGTCTCCTGTCTGGCTTTCCAACACTATCTCCCACATACATACTTATATTGTATTCTATTATACAATAGTATTTTAACATATTCATATATCATAACTTATTCAACCATTCCTCAATTAATGGGCATCCCTTTAGTTCTACACACACACATACACACACACACACACACACACACACACACCCCTTAGTCAAGTCTGACTTTTCATGACCCCATTTTAGGTTTCCTTGGCAAAGATACTGGAGTGTTTTACTATTTCCTTCTCTAGCTCCTTTTACAGATGAGGAAACTGAGGCAAACAGGGTTAAGTGACTTTCCCAGGATCACACAGCTAGAAAATGTCCAATGAAGCATGGGAAGTTGGCCCTCCCTTGCCTTCCCCAGATGGTGGAAGAGATACAACAATGTATCAGGTCTTCGTGTGTGTGTGTGTGTGTGTGTGCGCGTGCGCACGTGTGCATGTGTGTATTTATATATATGTATATACATGTACACATTTGTATGTGTGTATCCTGTACCCTACATTTGTCATATTTCTGTAATGGATTGTGTGTTTCATCAGCAGTCCACTGGAATCATGAATGGTCATTGTATTTTTCATAGTTCTTATAGCTTTCAAATTTGTTTTTATACTTTTACATCTAGGTCGTGTATTCATTTGGAGTTTAACTTGGTTTAAGGTATTATTATACAAGTTGTTCTGACTCTGTTTACTTCATTCTGCATGAATTCATACAAGTCTTTCCATGTTTCTTTGAAATCATCTATTTCCTTCTTTCTTATAGTACAATAATATTTTATCCCATTCATATACCATAATTTATTCAATCATTTCTCAATTATTGGGCATCCATTTTGTTTCCAGCATTTTTTGCCACCTCAAAAAGAGCTACTATAAATATTTTTTATTCATATAGGACTTTTCCTTATTTCTTTGATCTCTTTTGGGTTTAGGTTAGCCCTAGTATAGTTGAATCAAAGGGTATGTACTCTTTAGTAACATTTTGTGTATTTCATAACAGTTCTAACAGGTCCGCTGATGGTGCATTCATTTGCCTGTTTTCCCATAACCCCTTCAGCATTTATCATTTTCTTTTTCTTTTCAACTTTGCCAATCTAATGTGTGTGAGGTAGAACCTCAAAATTACCTTAATTTGGATTTCTCTAACTAGTAGTGATTTGGAACATTTTTTTATATAGCTGGAAGAACTGCTCATATTCTCAAACTATTTAAAAAGTGGAGAATGGATTTTATTCTTATAAATTTCAATAAATTTTTCATATATCTTGGAAATGAGAGCTCTGTCACAGAAACTTACTGGAAAGTTTTTTCCCAATTAATTATTTTCTTTTTGGTGTTAGCTGTCCTGGATTTGTTTGTGCAAAATCTTTAATTTTATGTAATAGAATGGTCTTTCAGATTTTCTCTATACCATGTATTGTTATGAACTTTTTCCCCATTCATAGATCTGATAGGTATTCCCCCCCCATGTGTCTCTAATTTGTTTATGATATGGTTTTTTATAACTAGGTCATGTATTCATTTGGAGTTTGTCTTGGTATTAGGTGTGAGGTTTTGATCTAAAGTTAATTCCTATAATATTGTCTAATTTTCTCAACATGTTTTCGTCACTTAGTGGGTCCTTATTCCAGGAGCTGGGGTCATTATGTTTATCTAACACTAGGGTACTAGATATATTTGTTTCTGTATGTTGTATAGCTAATCTGTTCCACTGATTGATGTCTCTGTTTTAAATGTACCAATTGTTTTGAGAATTATTGCTTTGTCGTGTAGTTTGAGATTAGGTACTGTTAGGCCCCCTTCATTCCCACTCCTTTTCATGATTTCTCTTGACATTTTTGACTTTTTTTCCTTTCATATGAATTATGTAATTTTTTTTTAGTTCTATAAAGTAATCCTTTCGTAGCTTGGTATGGCACTGAATAAAAACAATTAATTTTACCCAAATTAATTTATTTAATATTATTATTTTTATTATTTTGACTTCTCTGTTTTTCTCTTCTTTTCAATTCTCAACATTCTCAATTAATATAAAGTGGTTTCAGTTGAATAAAGTCTAAAAAAAATTCTTTTAAAAACTCAAAATAGCTGGGGACAGTGGTGTACACCTGTAATCCCAGCTGCCAATGAGGCTGAGGCTGGTGGATTTCTTCTGAAGTTCAAAGTAGGGATAAAACTGACTGGGTGTCCATACTAGGTCTGGCACTAATAATGTGAGTCCCGAGGAGGGTGAGAAGGAATAGGTTGCCTGAAGAGAGGTGAATCCAATAAAATGAAGCTTCTTTGCCAATCACCAGGTGTATCAGACTCATGAATGGCCACCGAACTTCTCTTACACACACACACACACACACACACACACACACACACACACACACACACGATCTACATGGCTAATTTCAGAATACATTGATCATACTCTGAGCTCTACTTTGTACTGGTGACTCCTTTATATTTTGCTCTTGGATACATGTTATGTTTCCTGCATCCTTTACAAATGCGTTTATTAAAATAGAAATAAGGATCTTCATAAAGAATGACAGGATTCCTATGTAGTAGAATATGTATTCAATAATAAACAAGGTTTATTTGAAGCATATGGCTTGTTTACTTAAAAAAGAGTGTTTCTAACATTTTTTGGCCAAAATTCCTAAGCTGTAACATATTACTTCAGAATTTCTTGAGGACTCTTCTTCATTCTCCAATGACCCTTTGAGGACCATTACTAAAGTATGTTTCTTGCTTTACCTGTAGCTTTCAAAATTAGGTATTGGTCCATCTCAGAAATGAAATCCTCTTGCTTTCAGTTACCATTTCATCATAGCACTGAGTACATCTACCTTGGCAGGTGATTTATTATCTTTGTTTGTACCAAGGAATGGTTGATGGGAAAAACTCCATGGAAAGAAAAAGTAGTATGGGCAGTACTACTCTCATTTGGAAAGGGAAGCAAGAAGAGCAAGTGTTCTGAAGATTAAGCAATGGGAATGGCTGAATTAAAGAGATATTTCTGCCCCACCATGGAGAATGACCTATGGGATCATTCTAATTGGCCACTAACGCTATAGGCTAGGGAGTAATCTGCCAACTCACCCCATTATTTCACTCTCCAACCCCACTGTGTGCCTTACAGATGACCTTGAAGAATAGGCTCCTGAAGACTGATTACTCCAGGTCTCAAGAGCCGTCAAAAATAGATTGGTAAACAGAGAGTGTTTTCCACTGGATGTTTAAGTAACTAAGAGTCAGAGGTCTTGGGCTCTATTTTTGGATTTTGAACCTAATTTACTACGAGCCAAAAAGCTACTTTACCCCATTGCTTTAGTTAATCCCTTGTAAAATGGGACTAATCATTTAACTTACAACACATAGTTATCATAAGAATTAATTGATATTTATAAAGTTTAGAAGTTCATACCATGATTATTAAAACTTGAACTAAATGATAGGGTTTTTGAATAATGTAGGCATATATACACATATCTGTTAAATACACTGAAATTTCTGTGTGTGTGTGTGTGTGTGTGTGTGTGTGTGTGTGTTGGATTGAGAAAAGAGACACAAAAATGGAAAAACAGCACTATGTTTTTATAGTTCTATATACCTGTGCTTATTGTTCACTAATGCAATCTTCATACAAATACTATATGACCTAGAAATTCCTTGCCTGTAATTGTAGAGCTTGATTCATGAGGGAAAATGACTGTTAGAATATAATAAGCACTTAGGTGCATGGTCTCCAAATGTCTGCTGCCATGGCAACCAGTTTCCAACAAGAAGACCAGAAGGCACCTTCAGTCTTTATGGGAGTTGCTCCCCTGCCATGTAGAAAAGAGATTCCTTGGATTTTAAAACTCAGTTTAGTGACCCAAAAACCTATGGTGAGTCATGTGGACAATTTTTTGAATGAGTACTACTTGGGCTGTTCCTAAATTTTTTGTGAGTCAGATGGCCTGGGTATTTAGATGCACCAGTTTAGTTCCTTGGACTTTGAAGCAGAGGTAGAAGGAGGGATGATAGATAGGTAGAGAGAGCATTTATAAAGCATTCACTGTGTGCCAAGCATTGTCCTAAGTGCTAGGATACAAATATAAGCAAGACATTTGGTACCTTCAAGAAGCTTACATTCTAATGGACTAAAACAAAACATTGAGGGATGCTGGAAGGTGGTAAAGGACATCATAAGGAGAGAGTCAAGAAGTAACACACCTCAGAACCAAGAGAAACAGTAGTAGAGTCCAAGATTCTGGGGTTAAGGGGTAAGGATAATGGCTGGCTAAAAAGACAACATGGTGAGGAGAAAAAAGTGCCTCCCTGAATGTTGACACACTCAGGCAAATCCCCAGTCACCCCATTCTGGTTACAGTGGTTTTGAGACCATAAAAAATGCTAGCCTTATGGTGAAGGTAGAAAGGAAAGAGACTAAACTTTAGTCTGTGTTCATAAAATGAGAAAATATAAGTTGTAAAAGGGGCAGTCTATGTCTGAAGCTGACACAGTGGCCTACTTTGAATCATCATATGGTCTTTGGGGTTGGTTTTGTGGAATTTGTTTATTTAGGCTGAAAAACACCCATAATACTGGCTACTTTGGCCTTCACCACAGGGAAAGCCAGGTAGATTAGATTTCATTCTTCCCCCAGGGTTCTCCACTACAGTAAAAGAGGGGGGCGGTGTCTAGCTCTCTGCAAATGGATCCAGCCTCTACTGATATTGTTCCCTCAATTGTAGGGGGTAGGTCCCCTGTACCCCAAGTTCCATCAGCCACTAAGAGATTAGTATTTAGACAGAACTATTTACTTCAAATGGTATAATTACAAATATCTAAATTTACTCCCCTAACACATGGGAGGCATAATCCTTCTCCACCCCTTCATCATCTCAGTCTCTGTGCAACTTGGTTCCTATAGAGCAACAGTTCCAGTTCCAAGTCTGAAAGCCCCTGAGGCTCAAGTCCCAGGCCCCCTGGCATCTCCATGCAGGGCTGACTGGCTGCATCATCCCATCTGCAATCTTGGCTCTGAGGTAGCCATGGCTCAAACTCCTGGTTCCCCAGGATCACCTCTCATGCCTGAAACTGAGGAGGACAACACAGAATAGAAGCAAAAACCGTGAAGCCCATCTCTTGGAGCTGGAGTAAAAAAGGGAGCTGAGGAAGGAAAGGCCTCTTCCTCTCACCCATTCATGTCATGGCCACCTTGATTCAGTACATGGTGGCCTCACTATGGGAGAACTGGGATCTTAATCCTCTGGTCACAGTAGATGAGACTGTTGGGAAAAAAGGGGCTGAAAGAGCTCAGCCAAAGCAGCCATTGGCTCAGTCTCGACAATTAAAGGAAGCTACCCCCACCCACATGGTAGAGGACACAGGCCCCCATGTCACCCCAACCGGGCATTGGAAGCCCAGCCTGAGTTAACCCATTATGCTAAAAACCAGTTGTCCTAACCATAATAGCACAGTGGTCAAAGGGTTGGAGCTTCTGTGTGGGGAAGAGAATTAAAAAAACCCAAAAAAGCAAAAAAACCGAGCACCCACAGGACTCTTTAGTTTGAAAAGTTAAAGACTGAAAAGGATAATAAAGTATCTAAATCATGAAGTATATGAACAGGGTAAGTAAAAAAATTAAAGGAAATACTCTTCAGCATACATTCTCTATGCATGCCTATGGAAATATTAATTATTTTGTAACTTATTTAATAAATCTCCAGCACTCTGTGACCTAAAAGGTTATACAAGCTGAAAATGCAAATGTGGTAAAGGAAGCCTGACCTTAGGCTTACTTTCCTAAATCCAGTGGTTGACAAAGTCAGCAAAAGACTGGGCCTGATGCTTCCTCTTTCATTTTGGCCAAATCTAGGGCCCAAGTGAGGGCAAATAGGCCTTTTGTGGGTGGCCTCAGGGGAGGAAAACAGGTTATTTTAGGTTCTTCACACCCCACTGCCTGCCCTCCATTTACCTGATGGTTCTTCATAGCCCAGATTGCAGCCAAGCATTTGGTTGACCTCTCAGATGGTTCAAAAGCATATGAGATGGGTGTAGCAGTCCAAATAAGAAAGGGTATGGGCTCATTACCACTCCCCTCCTTTTTTTAAACTTTCTTTTTCCTCATTAAAAGCAGTTCATGCTCCCCATTGCAGTTAGAGGTAGTTTTCTTTCTATGCCAGAACCAGGTGGTCTGTGGTTTCTCACCCCACCAAAGCAGTTTGTAAAACAACTGAAACTGAAACTGAAGAGCTACTTCAAGCATTGCGGTACTAACCTTTACTTTTCGAAAGTATCAGTTTTCAGGCCCCCAGGTATCCTGACAGCCTAGGAGACAGCACAGCATGGTATATTGAAATAAGAACTGAACCAGGGGCCAAGAGGCCTGAGTTCTGGAGTCAGCTGTCACCTACCTGTGGTATTACATTGGACAAGTTACCACCACTACCTGGGACACAGCTTCCTGATTTGCAAAATGAAGGTGTTGGGCTAAGTGACCTCGGGGCTTCCTGTGATTCAGCCAATCAACCAATGAGCATTTAAAGGCTTTGTGCCAGGCACTGAGAACTCAAGTTCAAAAGGAATCCAGTCCCTGATCTCAAGGAGTTTACATTTCTACAGGAGAGACAACAATGCACATATATAGAAAACACATAGAAAGAAGATGTCAGTTAGCTTTGGGGGAAAGACATGAGTAGCTGGTGGAACTAGGAAAGGCCTCATGTACAACTGAGTCTTGAAGAAAACCAGGGATTCCTAGAGGCAGAGATGTGGAAGGTATGCATACCAGGCATATGAGACCATGCAAAGGCAACAGACAGGAGATCAAACGTTATTGAAGTTGTTAAGGAATCATTGTTGTTGTTGTTGTTCATCCTTCTTTCTCAAAGAGGACCAATGACTTCACGAAAGTGATGTCTTGACTTGCAAGTGAATTGGATTTAAGTGAGGCAGAGCTGTGCAAAGTGGATCAGTCATTGGAGTCCAGTGGCAAGACCTAAGTCAAGATGACCGGTAATGTTCCAGCTCTTAATGAATCAGTGTCTACATGGCAGCAGCTATAGAGTTATTTTGATAGTTGCATGTTAAAATGATTGGTTCCCTTTGTAATTCTGTGTATTTTATATATTTAAAAACACTTCTGAAAAGGGGTCCAAGGCAGCTAGGTGGCCCAGTGGATACAGCACCAGCCCTGGATTCAGGAGGACCTGAGTTCAAATCCGGCCTCAGACGTGTAACACTTAATACCTGTGTGACCCTGGGCAAGTGACTTAACCCCATTGCCTAGCCAAAAAATAAAGGGGTCCACAGACCACCATAATGCAAAAGGGATCCAAGATACAATATAAGGTTAAGAAAAAGTTTAAGAATTCCTGGCTAGAGCTAGGACAAATTTAGTAACATGAATTTCAATAGAGATAAATGTAAAGCCTTGCTTTTGGGTGCAAAACATCAACTTCACAAGTACAAGATGGTTAAAAAGCATGGTTCTGAAAAGGATATGGGGTTTTTATCTACTGCAACCCCGTATGAATCAGTAGTATACTGTACCTCTGTGAGTGGAGATAGTTAATATGTGTATAAATAAATCTTGGCAATTTCTCCCTTTATGCATCAGGCTTTAACAAATGAAGAGATATCACTTGTTTGGAAAAAGTCCCTGCCTCTCCTTTATCCCCACTCCTTAACCTCTAAACTAGCTCCTTCTTAATGTGATAATCTTTAACAAAAAGCACACTCTCCGCCCAGGCCTACTGGCCTTCTTGCCATTCTGTCTGCATACTCATAATGATTTCTTTCCTGACCTTCGCCTCAAATAATCCCAGGATTCCTTTAATACTCAACCCAAGCACCATCTTCTGCAGGAGGTCTTTCCCCTCTGAGTGTCTTCCCCTCTAAAGCTGCCTTCTATCCGCTCTGTATTTATTTTATGTGTACCGATTGATATAAATGGTGTCTTCACCTTTAGGGCATAAGCTTCACGAGGACCGGGACCATTTTTGCCAAGTTTCTATGCATTCCTAGTGCTTAGCACTTGAGAAGTGCTTAATATATGCTTTTTGATTATTTTTTCTTAAATTCTGCTTTCAGTTGATTAAAGTTTTGTAGGATCATAGATTTAGAGAAGGGAGGCACTACAATACTCATTTATTTTAAACCCCTAATTTTACAGAAAAGGAAACTAAGGCCTGGAGAGATGAAGTGCTTTGTCTTAGGTCACTTAGGTAATAAGTGTTATTATTGTTCAGTTGCACCTGACTCTTTGTGACCTCATTTGGGGTTTTCTTGGTAGAGGCACTAGAATGGTTTGCCATTTCCTTCTTCAGCTCTTTTTACAGACAAGGAAACTGAGGCAAATAGGATTAAGTGACTTGCCCAGAGGCCACATTTGAACTCAGGAAGATGAGTTTTCCTAACTCCAGGCCCAGCACTCTATGCACTACACCACCTAGTGACAGAGCAGGAATTCTAGCCCAGATTCTGAGTTCAAGTCCAGCATTCTTTATATTCCTGTATCTAAGGGTTTTCCTTCATTGATCATTTAAATATTCTTGATACCAAATTGTGCTTATAAGGGGGGGAGGCATATGGAGAGGTTAGAGAGGTTGGGGTGTTCTTGAGTAAGATTTCCTGAAATTCTGATTTCCCCATTCCTTCTTCCCCCCCCTCCTAAATTCTAAAAGTAAAGCTATTTTTCCTTCTTCTTCTTCTTCTTCCACTTAAAGAAAATGGAAATAAACTTTTACAAGACCTCAGATAACTATTTGCTAAAAGAACAAATAAATCATTTTATATTCCCTTGTCTTTAATTTCCTGATGCTGCTGCTGCTGCTGCTGCTGCTGCTGCTGCTGCCAATGAAGACTAACCAAGCACAGGTGGACTTGGAAGGATGCCAAGCTAAACCCAGCCAACCTTAAAGTCGTAAACACAAAGTTGGCCCTGTTTGTGTTTCGTTCTTAGACCTGCACCTCTTGTCATGCTTCCTGTTTACCAGCTGCTCTTTCTTTGAATTCTATGTTCTCACCAAGGCTTTCTCTTTTTACCCGGTACCCAGTGGTACCCACTTACAATTGACATTCCTCTTCCACAAGTGCCTGCCGAAGAGGCTGCACGGTGTAGTGTGAAGAGACTTGAATATGGAAGTGGCAGGCCTTTGTTCTTATTCTCCGCTCCACAATTCATGACCATGGGGAAGTCACTAAATTTCTCTCTCAATTTGCTTATCTTTAAAATGCCTGTCCCATCTCTCTCAGAAAACTGTTGGGAATAAAGAACTTTGTAAACTTTTGTAAATGGCAAAAGGTGAGATGATATTAATAAGGGTAGGGTGTGAGTTGAGTAAATTAGGTCATTTCCTCCTCACTTCTAAGGGAGTAATAAAGATGCTTTGATATCTTAACCAGGTGAAAACAATGAACTGTTCTCAAACACAAGCTATGGTTTCAATCAGTTGATTTATAATGGGCTTTGGGATAAATGTGATAAGTCCTTGGCACTGGAGAAATGTTGTTCTGTCCTTTGTTGTGTCTGACCCTGTGGACCATAGCACACTAATGTTGGCCTTGGGGTTTTCTTGGCAAAGATACTAGAGTCATTTGTCATTTTCTTCTCCAGTGCATTAAGGCAAGGGGAGGTTAAAGGACTTGCCTAGGGTCATATAACTAGTAAATGTCCAGGCTGGATTTGAACTCGTCTTTCTGACTCCAGACCCAGTGTTCTATCCACTGAGTCACCTAGCTGCCTCTGAAGTGACATTACATAGGAATTCTGTCCAGATGGGAAATGGGGCTGTCTATCAAGTTGAGAATTGATATCTTTTGGAGCAAGTTCAGTGTTCTATTAAAACCACTTTGGAGAAACTGCTCCAGCATGGCCCAGTTCACCTTCCATGCCCTTCCTCCCATTCTTCTTTTGATTGGAGGAAGACCTTGAGAACATGGACAAGTCTAGGGTATTTTGTGCATCTCATTTTTCTATCAGTGTTTTAGTGGTGTGCCCAGATCACCTGATGCCAGCCTCTGCATTAGGAGCTGAAGACATTCGTGATTCATGGCTCCACAAAGAGCCCAGCAAAGAAACTGCACTCTGCCTAAAGGGAACTCCCCGACCATACCACAAAAGAGAGAAAAGGACTTCCAGGAACCAGGAGTTCTGAGTTATCCCTTTGCCACATGTGCTTTCTAAACTTAATGGCACTTTTCCCTGGATTCCATATCTACTTGTCATGGATTTTTAGGGGGAAGTTTTGTACTACTGTTACCACCTTGATAAATATCCCTTTCTAAAAGCTGCTTCAGTTTTGCTGCCCAAATGATAATTGGGAAGAGCACATTGGAATGGGGACTCAAGACAATAGCATTGGAGAAAATCACCTTCAGAGGTTACTTCAGATCCCTGTGGGGAAGATGTAGCTTTGTTCTGGGAGGTCTGACTCATCAGCTGGGGTGAGGCTCCTCAGAGCTTATGATGGCTGCGTATTATTACTACATAATCTTATTTCTTACCTCTGGGCCTTCTTTGGGTCAGATTTAGAGCTGAAAGACAACTTGGAGATCATTCAGTCCAACCTCCTTGCTGTTGAATTCTTTGTGATACGAACCTACCAAGTAGGGATCCTTTGTAGTTGCACAGACAAAATAGGCACTTAATAAACATATTCAATTTGGCCCCTCAAGCCAGCTTTTAATATGACCCTCACCCAAAGGTTGTCTCTATAGTTTGTTTGGGTGGGGATAGTTGTGGATGATGGCAGGAATTGGGTGAGGGAGGGAAGGCTGAACCTGGGATTTCATCAATGTAGAAAGATTCTGGGGAGGAATTTACTCTACCAATGCAGATTGGTTCCTTCTCTGCAACTTAGAGTTTTTAAGAATTACCTAGATCACTGATAGGTCAAATAACTTGCCCAGAATCACACTGCCAGTATGTGAAAAAAGTGGGACTTGAACCCATCTTTCTGACTTTGGGACCACTATCCACTATCTGTCCATTATACCATGCCTCCTCTCAAGTAGTCTGT